GGAGCCGCAAGGGCGCTGCGGGCTTGAGCCGGGTCCCAGCCGCGGAGTGCGCTCGGGTCGGTCAGTGAGCGGTTACCTGCACACGCCGCGGAAGGTTTTGGAGATATTTTCGTTAAGGTGGCGCCCTTTGTTTCTGCAAACCTTTCCGTCTCTGAGCACATGTGAGTTTCGGGCCTTCAGAGACTTCATGAAATTTGACTGAGATGTGACCTCCTTCTGAGCTTGCATATTGAACAAATATTTAACATAGGCAAAACTGACTAAACAAGCATTAGTGTGGAGCCTGAATGGCTTACTTTTTTCTAGGACGTGCAGCTGAGATGTTTTATCTGTTTTGCAGTGTTTATAAAGCACTGTGTGAGGTAAATGATTGCTAGTAAGCTGATGTATGCAAAGATCCCCCATCACAAAGTCTTCTTATAGCTTTTAGCCTAGCTTAAATAGTTCAGTTTACCACATGTCTGGAGCTCCTGAATACTGGTTCTTAAACTGGATTGCTAGCCAGAATTAAAAACACAGGCATTCCACCCAGCCTCACTACAACTTTTTATCGTGTTGACTTTCTGTCTTTCTTCTCATGCTCCTACAATAAAGGAAGAGTAGGCCTTTATCCTCTTTGTTGCATGTTGGCTTTATTTTTTTCTTCATGGAAGTTCATGAGTTTTGGAAGGATTGATTATGAGTTGAAGCGAGTGATCTCTGAACATCAGAATGAGATTGAAAAAAAAATAATTAATGAGGCTAAGAAAGAAAAAGGTAATGCTCTTTCATTCCCCCACAAAAGACCAGTGCGTTTTCTGTGCGTGAAGAACCTTACAGGTGCTTACAAAGCATTTAAACAGGGTTTGAAACACTTTAGGAGGTGCTAGTGCAGTGTGCACTAGAAATTCACCATCTTGATGAGAAGAAACTTAGGATAAGACTGATATTATAGATTGTGTAATGCAGAGCAAAATTACTGACTTTGTCTATGTCCAGAGGCAATACTTAAATGCGCAGTCATCCTAGAAGTAACTGCAGATCAGCTTCTTGAGCCTGTGGTATATTCTAGATATATAACTTCTGCATGCCTTTACTAAGTGGAGCAGTTTAAATGGAGGTATTTGATGTTACAGGAGAGAGAAGAAAGAAAAGTCATAGAAGTAATTTGTAGGAGGCTGTTCAGTGTAGGGGAAACCTGGTCTTTACAGTGAGTGCTCTTGAGTCTATGTTAGTAAGTGGAAAAGAGGCACTAAGAGATTTAAATACAGTGGGACTGACATGGAAAGCCTTATTGAAAGTATTCAACATTTTTTTTCCTATTATATTCCTCATAAAATTTTCACAATTTCCGCACTTCTGTGATATTAGAGATGAATATCATTTTTTTTCATCAGGTATTTCAGGTATCTTTAGAGACTGGCCCCTCCACAGTGACACAGGTCTGCTGCTGCATATGCTGGGTTGTGCTTTTGTGTACTGCCTTATGACTGCCATACTCTTCTTTGTTGCAGCATGCCAGTAATGCTAGAAATATTTACAAGCGTTAATGCTTTTTCTTGCAGAAGTTTGGGGCTAGCTCTGCATGTGATGTTTGCGATTTTTTTTTTTTTTTTTTACTTTTGAATACAATTTATGCACATGCTGAAATAATTGCTAAAAATGCTTGCAGCGTGCTGCAAGAGCAATCCTGTCTTTGGTCAACCACAGGACAGCACTGCTATTGTAGTCACTTTGCTCAGGTAACATATTGGCCCTAGCTTATAATGATTGTCAATGTAGGGAGAGGAATAAAGGCCCTTACATCTTGTTGAATTTAAATGGTTATTATCAAAGATTTTGTTGGATATGCTAAAGCCATTAAGAAAAAAAACTTAAAATGTATATGCAGATCTTACTAAACATGTATTTCTGTCTTTCACTGTAACTACTGACTAGTGTCAAAGATTAAATTGCTGTTCATTCTGTTAACCATCAGGGCCAACAGAGTTAAAGAAATTACTGGATTATGTCTCCTTGTGAAAGGAGAGTCAATGAACTGTTGCAGCATGCAGTACAGCAGGGTTGCCTGGGTACTGCTGAGGCCTGAGTGAGTTGCTAGAACCCTTATTGGTGGTTGTTCTGTGCCGAGATCCTAGTCTCACAGTTGAGACTGAGTTTGTAGCGCAGGAATGAGAGAGGCAAAATCACCTTAGGTTTAAAACTTAACTCACATCATTAAAGACTTCTAAATAAGAAGCTTTATTATTAACTTGCATGTAAAATATAAAGAATGTTTTTTGTAGTTGGAGTAAAAACTTTATTCTTAATGAAAAAAATCTTTTTTTTTTCTTTGATACTGAATTGTCCTCTCTAGTTGTGTCTGCAAGGTTTGCATTGCATTGTTTTTATCGGCCACTGCATTCCTCTCCAATACAAATACTGCATTTTTGTTGTGGTGGTAGTGGTTGTTTTCTTAATGTTTTCAGGCATATAGTGTAGGGTGGCTGGAAGTGGGGTTCTTTATTCTCTAAACACTTAGCCTTGCAACTTGAAGTTAATAATGATATTGCTGTGACATGCTGTGTTTCTGATGCAGGTCTCTGGATTATATTATTTTTCTCTTATGAGCACCAGTAATCTTGACATTATTATCCAATACATGCATTTAAAAATGCATTCTAAAAGTTGCTGCCTAAACTGCTGTCTTGTTTTTCTATTTTATGGTTGTGTATTAACAAGGTTCAGTTCCTGTAATCAGAGAATGGTCTGTTACTCCACACAATGTCCTTTCTAACTGTGGATTTTCTGCCTTGATAGATACTTGATATTTGCCAAATCATTGCAGCAAAACTTAGTGTGATTATATGAAGCATGTAGGCCTGCATCTGCGGTGTAACTGATGAGTTTAGTTCTCAGTTTTGAAGTCCCCGATATGAAACACTTGAAAATGGAAACAGTTTTTTAATAATAATTATTATTACTATCATCATCATCATCTTGGTGGTTTTTTATATTGTTTCTAAACCTGCCGCTTTGAAAGTAATGTTTATTACATGAACAGGTTCACACCTATTCTAACACAGACTTCAATGTTTAATTGCATTTAGACTCTATTTTAATTCAAGGAAGAGCTTGGTGCTGGCAAATAGAGGAAGTCTTCCTCAGAAACGTTCTGCAGCCCTGTCAGTTGAAAAGTTCCACTCTCTATGTTTAGTTATATGATAAGGTAATAGTTTTCTACAACTGAATTTTCTTACATCAAAATATTGAAGGGAAGAGAGAGGAAGATCTGAGCTTTGGAAATTGCTTAGTGATATGTAGGAAAAAAAAACATTCCTGTAATCATTTTCAGTTAACTTATTTACTTATTCTGCAGGCATGCTTTCTGCTTCACGAAGCTTCTATTGCCTTGGAATTAGAACACGGTTGCTACGGACAGATTGGCCTTCCAAATCTGTTAGGTTCTCAGCCTTTGCAGTAAGTATTTCATTAACTTCATAGATTACACTATTTTAAGTACTATTTATTTTAGAGATATACTGATTTTTATAATGTTAAGAGTGAATACACATTAGATTGAGTCCTACTTTGCTTTTGAATTAGCTTTGCCAGGCAGTTTAAGATTCATTGATTCAATGTGAGGAAGTCTACAAAACATTGTTTTCTATAGCTGTATTCTTTACTTGCTGTTACATTGTTCCAGTATGTAATAGCAGGACTAAAATAAGTTATCCAAATCAGTCAAATATTTAACCATACAAGCACGGTTGAATTCAGGGACTATTGCTGTGTATATGTTGAAAGAAAACAGAGCTTTTCAAGTGATGAATTGTGGGGGGTCACATACTTGATTTCATGTAGAACTTACGAGCATATATTGCATTTCCAGATCAGAATGAGAGTTTACCTACTCAGCAATGTGAGGCAACCAGGTTATGTGACATATTCTCCAAAGCAGATGTTTAGACCTTTACAGGCAGTTAGGGCATAGGGTGGCTATATGAGAAGTCTTTTGATAGGTAAGCTGCCTTCAAGTTCAGGTTTTGCTTAGGTCCGTTTTTCATATGCTGTAATTATTTGTGATCTATTTAATGTAGTTGGATGATCTCACTGATCATGCTGGTATCTAATCTGTTTTTTCTTTTTCTTTACATTTTCAATTCTCTCAATATCTTGGCTTCAATTGTAGCTTTTGACGTTGAATTTCACAGTTTAATTGTGCACAATGTAAAATAATTTGCTTTATCAGTATTAAACTGCTTTTCACTTTGAGCACAAGTTTATTTGTATAATGAAGAAAGATAAATAGAAGCAGCACTGACTCTGTCTAACGTGATCAGCAGAAGGTCACAGAGCTAGAGCTCGGTGGGGAAATACCTTATGTGCTTAAACTAATCAAGATACTAGCCTGTATGGCTTGAGGATTATCAAGTGTTGACACAACTGGACCAAAACAAAAAAAGGATTCTAAGAATTTCCATCATCTTTTAGAAGAAGAAATTCTACTTGATGAATAACTTTTAAAATGACAGCTGATTGGTTAACTTTCTCAAAGTAAAGTAATGAGCAGGACTTGAAGCTCACATGAAGCTAAATCTGTAAAAACCTGGAAACTAACACAGTTCCAACTACTTTGTTCTGTAACTAGTTTCAAGACACAATAAAAAAATAAACAAGACTCTTTAGATTAAGATGGTATGAGAACTACTTTCAGCTTATTTTATTTGTCAATACTTTTTAGCTAGGGGAAGTTACTTAATACAGTTAAGATTTACCTTATATTTAATGATGGAAGTCATGTAGCTTAAATTAAAACAATTAAAACAATTAAACAATTGTTAATTTAAATTAACAATTTCAAGAGGAGTTGCCATAAGAACATACAGATTTCCCATTATAATCTGGAAAGAATCAGGATAAGAATTTTTATTCCTTGTAGTATGAGTAGTCTAGCATGTGAAAAAGGGGAAGGCTTGCTGAGTGGTGCCCGTGTTGCTGATTTTGTATAGTATGGCCAGATATTAATCATCTTTAATGGCTGCCAACACTAGGTTTGTCTTCTAAACTGTATGTGCGTTTCTGAGTCGATGCAGTTCAGATTGCCTAGTAAGAGCTCCCTCGCAACCATGGTGCATGTCCTGTAGCGAGAATTACAAATTCAGCTCTCCAGTTGTCCTAAGTGGATTGTGTTCTTCCTGAGGTTAAATGAAAGGTGTTCTGTGCTCTGTGTTTTTCCTGTAATTGTGCCGCAGAGATGAGATAAAAATCAGATCCTCAGAGGAGACATGAACAGAGAAGTAAGTTAATTTCATAGTTGACCCATTCTTCAAACCATTACGTCTATGCTAACTTCAGTGTCCTAAACAGGCAAGCATGGACCTGCAGAGCACTTCTGAGGCCTTTGCAGTGATTCAAAGTTCAGACTTTGACTATAGTGGTTGCTCAATGCTTTCCTTTCTCAAACAGAAGCTCGAGCATGCCTTTTGAATCTTTCGGGCACCAATAGTAGCCAACAGAGGTAAAACTCACTAAAATCAGTAGCTTAACTCAAAGGCATAGGAGCGTCTGGAATACTGAGTATCAGTGAGTGATTTGCCTCATAGATTTCTTTCTAATGTGGCTAGTTTACGAAGATAGAAATGGGTTTTTGCTACTTTCTTGTTTGTAAATACAAATAAATCTGAGAGTGTTTTTCCTACTTTATTTTTTCTTTCTTTTTTTTTTTTTTAGATTAAAAATACCTGAAATGTCAGATCATTTTGATCTGTCTTTGTAAGGAGGATTCAGTATAGGTCTGTTCTAAATTAGTTTTGTAAGACTTTAATTGAAGGACTGATATATAGCAGAACTTAGGTCCTAATGTGGTTTTGCTGTGTTGCAAGTAAGTATTTAGAAGTTTTACGTGCTCTGCATGAAAATATAAAATGTCTTTCCTATCTTGCAGTTTCTCATCAATTTTACAAATATAATTACATAGAAAACATGTTTTTAAACTGGATCAGGCAGGAATTGGGTGAGAAATAACTCAGTCTTTAAGTCTTTAGTGTATCATTAAAAAGAAGAAAAAGAACATACAAGCCATGTATTTTTTTTTTCTTTGTAGGCTTTTAAAGTGTATGCGCTAAATTCTGCCTCTCTTCCAACCTTATTCTAAGCTCAGTGGGTTTAGATAATGATGAATGAGGATTTAGGCCATACTTACATATTTTCATGTTAGTCTGAATTCAAGCTATTACAGAAGCTTTCATGAAAGACCATGTCTATAATTTTGTGCAACTACTGAATTTAGCTGACAATGGTATATTTGAAAAAGCATGAAAGAGACTTTGTTATGCAGCATCCAACAATATAGCACTTTATCTTTCTTAACAAAACCCTGCTGGTATATTTTGATCTTGCAGACAATGCCTTTCAAGCACAAAAACGCAAGACGAATTGAAGGCCTTGATAGCAATATTTGGTAAGTAAAAGAAAAATATCTGCAAACTTCACAAAATGTCTTTGGCTGCTGTATTTTCATTCTGAGTTGATAATTATTGCCAATAAGCACCACACAGGTATATAGCACTTGCGCTTTTTTCTGAAACGTTTGACACCTGCTTAAAGGACAGAAGCAGTGAAACAAGTTACGGTAAAGCTGTGATTATTTTTCCCCCCCTTGTTCTTTAATCATTAGGCTTAGACTTCTAGCTCTCTAGTAAACCACATAAGTATAACTTTGGGTATTGTGGTATAGCAGACTTCTAAATGTAAATATTAATTTTGTTAGACTATATTTCAATTTTTCTTGCTTTTTTAAAAACATGAATAGGCCTCTTTTTAACCACTGTACTTGTCTTTACAACATGGTCCATTATTTTTAATATAATTTTTAAATATTTTTTTAAATATAATTTTTACTAGGTGTTAAATTAGTCTCAATCACTGTAAATTAATCACTGAGAAAATTGGTATTGTGGTAGTTGATAACAGCACCATATTGGACTTGCGCTAGTTGTGCATGTGTGTATGTGTAACATATAAGGTGCTTTGATCATCTTGCCTTTGACTTATTTTTAGCAATTTCTATTTATTTTAGAAAGTTGTGAAGCTGTATTTTTTTTAAAACTTGTTAACATTTGGGTAGTGAGGAAAGAGTAAAATGCAAAGCTCCTTCATGAAAGAAGGAAAAAAAAAGATTCAGAATTCTAAAGTTAATTTTTGGCAGGGTACTAGGAACAGTTAATGAACAGCCTGAAACCGAGTGTTGCCTAAGATCACACACGGGAAAAAAAAAAAAAGAATGCTGAGATAGCTGGGTAGTTTAAATAACTCCTTCATTTGACAGAATCTAGACTTTAAATCATTCAATTTGCCTGTTCTAATTAATTCTAGTCTTATAAAGAGAATAGTGTTTAATTTCTGCTCATATTCAGGGTTACAAAACACACAAAGTTAGAAACCTTTTGTGCAGATGCAGAAAAGAAGCCTTTTTTAGTTTCCTTCTGACTCCTGTGGTTACTTAACCTTGTCCCTGTTGCCATTTCTCTGCAGGATGAGACACACTCTTTTCTTGAAGCTGTTTCTCCTGCCCTGCACTTGTCAATCTGAAACACTTTTTGCCTTTTAATGCTGATGATGGAAAAGACGATTTTATCATGTATGTCAAATTTAGAACTTCTTTTTCCCCTATAGGGTTGAATTTACAAAGGTGGCTGCAGATCCCTCAATTGTCAATCTTGGTCAAGGCCTTCCTGACATATCCCCTCCCAGCTATGTGAAAGAAGAGCTGGCAAAAGCAGCAGCAGTTGACAGACTGAACCAGTACACACGGGGCTTTGTAAGTACTATGGAACGTGGGGACCCAAGCTCCGTGGCAGTCCTTCCATGGAGAAAAATCTTTTAGATTGATTAGTTCATGCTCTTAACATCTGAAATTTAGTTTGTCTAGTGGAGCTGTCAGCTACAGATCTATCAGCTGCCAACCAATATCCTCCATGTAAGGTTCGTTAATGCAGAATACTTCAGGATGGATATGGTAGTGTGTATGGGGTACCCCACAGGTTGTCACTGAAGATTCATACCAAGTCTGTTCACAGCACAGAGCATATTAATAGCACGCCTCTGATTTTGCTCAGTATAAACATGAATTCCTAGAATCAGGGTGGAATGAGTGAGACAGACCTGATGTTAACTGAGATAGCACCTCTAGAATTGGGAAGATTCACCCATAGCATTCAGTAGGTTTCAGTGGAGATTAAGAAATAATTAAAACAGTAAGTTTATGGCCTAGAGGATAGTCACTGTCCATTGTACCAGCTGACAGGTGAAATTTACCTCTTGAGTTGAATATGAGCATATGGCATTTGTCATTCTCCTGAGGCAGAATATTAAAATGGGCCATTGCTCTGGTTTAGTGTGACACTTCCTTGGCTTATTTGGTTTGTCCTTCTCAAATTTTGTCATAAAGATGAATGATGTTGCTCACTCAAGAATAATGTGTCAGGATTGCTACAAGATCCTTGCGGATCTGTTTGTACACAGTCTAATACGCTTCTAGAGGGCCGTGTTGTGCAGCATGGGTAGGAAGACATTGTGCAGAGCTGGTAGGCTGGGGCCTGGGTAGGATGGTGCGTTGTTGGTGTTTGTGTATTTCACCAGAGCTTTTTGCCTATTCTCTGAGAATTTGCGTGCATGAGAACTGACAGAGGGCAGTGAGGGCCAGCAGCATCTGCAGGAACAAGCAGCTGAGCTCACTAGCCCAGCTGTTGGGGCAGGGGCCTCACCAGCCAAGGCCCCGTCTTGCAGCACCCAGCGTGGCAAGCAGGACAGGCCAGAGATGGCAGCTAAGATCAGCCCAGGCAAGGGGTGGTGATAAGGTGGGTGTGAGGCCAAGCCAGGAGGTCTGTCTGCAGGTCAGGATGAGGCTGGTGACGGCAACTGAGGTCAAACACCTCAGTAATCACCACTCAGTGATCACCACTCAGATCCTTGTTGATGAGGCAGGTCCCATGTCAAGCCAGGGAGTCGGACCACAGGGCGAGGACCGCATCAACACCGGCAAACACCAGCGCAACCCCAGCATACTTGGGGCAGGGATGGCAGCCCTGGAAGGGAGCTCTTGGGCCCACAGCAGAGATGGGTGAAGGCTGCAGGTGAGTCTGGGCAGGGCCAGTAAGGCTGTTGGGTCACTCAGGGCTGCGACAAGAATGGAGAAAAAAATCATCCACTGAATGCAGTCTTGCAGGCATTAACATGCCACTTTGTGTCGCTTTCTTTGGGCACATTGTAGAACTGTAGCTCTGCAAGAGGGGTATATGTTTAACGCACAAAAAAGGTAGCTGGAGTTTAATGAACTTGTAGACTAAGCTTAGCATGTTCACCACCCCCAGTAAAATATCTGAAAAGACATCAGTGAGGAGAAGAGTAAATTTCCACAGCTCCCTGCCTTGGAGGGCATCCCGTGTTGCTGGTTTGCCGTTCCCAGAAACTGTTAGCACTGATGACACTGAGTATGTCTTTCCCTTAGGGTTTTACAGCTTTCCGTGTTGGGCTTTTCCTCTTGGATCCTTGACTTACTAACAGTCCTCATCTCAGTAGTCATATGTCTGTCTGTAATTTAACCTTTCTTATCTTTTTGGAGAGTTTCTCAAAGCTCCTCACAATTTAGCCATTTCCTCAGAAGTCTGTGCCATGTTATGGAGGAACTTTGGCTCAGGGGAGATGTTACAGAGAGCATTGACTACAGCCTCTTCCACCAAATATCTGCTGACAGATCCTCCAGCAAAAATTTCAAAATCAGGCATAAGTGCAATTTTGCCAATGCATGCAATTATTGAAGTTTTCTGTCACTTTGTTGCCTAGTCCCCAATAGCCTACTAACTTTCATGATACTTAGAAGCATTGCAGAAATTCTATACTATTAATAGTAATTAAAGAGGATTTTTATCAATATTTTCAGCTTTTAAACTTCCTCTAGATGTTCTCCTCTAATAAGGTTTTTGGACTACCCATGTTGTCTGTGGCTAGCAAACATGGGAGGGATGAATGCGAGTGGTGGCATTCATCTGATAATTGAGACTTTGTCTCCCCTTGTGCCATGCTTGGACCTCTCAGTGACTAGGGTTTGTAGAGTGACCTGGTGAGACCTGGGTGCCGCAGCATTCCTGTTGCTGACACACTCGAGGCCAGAAGTGGCTGTCATCTGAATCAACGATGATTAGCAAGCTTTAATTTAGGGTGATGTTTTTGTTTACAAAAGGGTTCATAACTTTATGCCTTCAGCGTTCAACATTGTAGGGAAGGAGTTTTGATATGGCTGCATGTTTTTCATTAAGCTGCTTTCTGTCTTTCTACCAAGTGTCCAAAAAAATCACAGCAGGAAAGCTGTAGTCTTCCTGAATAAACAGGGCTGTGTGTTCCTATTTCCATGTTGTCTGTGAGCTTTATTTCCCGTTTGTTTTCTTGTTCTTTGCATACTTTGAAAAGAATACGCTGATCCTGGTGATCCTGCAGGGTCACACATGGTAAATGGTTCTATGAGATTTAGGATATTGTTCTTAGAATTATCACTTTGCTCCTAAGTGATGGGTATCAGCGCTACTAAACAGAATTAAAAGATTTCCCTTGCGACAAAGAATTTTTATTTGAGACAGGGGGAAATAAACAGAAAGAGCTTCAGAGAGTGTCATGGGCAGGTGGGAAAGAGACTCTAAAGAGGATGAGGATGGAGTGATGTGAAAGCATTTTTTCCTTTCTTTCTGTCTCTTGTTCAGCTCTTCTTTAGGCTGCTTAGAGCTCTCCTGTAATATGGTAAGATAGAACTTCAAAAGCATCAATTTACGAAGAATTTCCTAGAGAAGTGATGAAATTAAGCCCACTTCCCCAAAGTGTGAAAGCTTTAAAGCACATGTACAAGAACTTCTTTAAAGCACATGACCTGTTAAAACCTACTAGCCCTACTAACTAGGCCCATCTTGTATTTTTCTATTGTACAGTCTCTTGTTTTATTATGTGTGGGGGAAAAAAAAGAATCATGGGCCTTACATGCTGTGTAACGCCTGGCTTCTTGCCTAAAAAGGATCACACTAATCAGCTGCATTTCTTTGCTTTTATCAGGGACATCCATCACTGGTGAAAGCCTTGTCTCAGGTGTATGAAAGAGTTTATGGAAGGAAGATTGACCCTCTCACAGATATCTTGGTGACAGTGGGAGGATATGGATCTCTCTTTAGTGCAATACAGGCCTTAGTAGAAGAGGAAGATGAGGTAAGTTTTTATTAGAAATATTTACTTATACTCATGGAAATGAGAATTTGCCTATTTTTTAATTTGCATTAGATATTTGCATATTAAATTACTGCACCAAAATAAATCTGAAAATACAATGTTATTAAGCATTTCAGTTTCTTTTTTTCTTATACTGATATTTCAGGTAATAATAATAGAGCCATTTTTTGACTGTTATGAACCAATGGTGAAGATGGTGGGTGCAAAGCCCATTTTTATTCCTTTGAGAAATGTAAGTAGCATTTTAAAAATTCTTTATCCTTTAAAACTTCCCTTCTAAAACTAATAAAATTTTATGAACATCTTGTAGAAGATAATCTTTTATATAGTTTTTCATAACACTCAATTATATTGAAATGAGATCAACTGCTATAGTCCACTAGTTTGAGGTGAAAATAACTCCCAAAATTACAGATATTTTGTTAGTGTAGGAAAAACTAGGGCATTGTTTCTCATCTACTTTAGTTTGTGCATTCTGGAAGGTGATCCAGATTCCTTTTATTTTTGATGCTTTTGGAAAAATATTTGAGTTGCAAATGAGGGAAGGGTGATCGCATATCAGTGCAATTTGTGTATCTGCTGTTTTTTAAAAGATTTGTTTTATGATCTATTCAACAATTTCTGTAATGATAAGAGTTTTCCAGGTTCCTAGTAGTGCTTCCTAAGTTAGCAGCAATCATATAGTAGACATTTTTGCTTTAAGTATTATGGTTTCTTGGTTGAAAGGAATAATTTTGATATGTGTTAATTTTCAGTGAGTAACTTCACTGATAAATCTGCTAGCTGGCTGTTGTGAAAGGAGCAGGAAGCTTCAGTTCTTTGGAGCAGCCCAGGGTGGTGGGATGAGAGCAAATGTGTCACCCTGCCGTGCTGGACAAGCTGCTGTGCTGGCAAAGAGGAGGTAGAGCCGACCGTGTGGCAGCTCGGTACTGCTGACACTGTGCTGGAGGCCTGCAGGAGCTGTTGGGGACACAGAGCGTTGATGCTGTTCCTGTTGGCTCGGTGACTGGCAGCCTTGCTTCCTGGCCGAGGGACTCTTTGTGCTGGAGCGTTGCGTGAACTCTGTGAAATTGGAAGAGCATCTGTTAGAAAGCGCCAGGAATGCGGGAGGAGATGAGGTTCTTCAGGGTGTCCTGCGAGGCTTGCTCTGAATGTGATGGCATTCGTTCATGTCTTTTGTTTGTTTGTTTGTTTGCTTCACACCCTTGCGTTTGGTCTTGCCTCCTCACAGTAATGTGTGAGTTAGAAAGGCCATGGTCTTTGCCCTCTGCAGAAAATGAGCCAAACTTTTGTCATCCTTATGAGATACCACAGAAACTCCAGAGCCTGCATGGCACAGAGTTTTAACTCTGGCTGTTTCTTTGCACATAAGGAGGTGGGGGGAAGACCTGAAGTTCTGGTCCAGAGATGATTAATCCTTCTTGCCAAGCAGACACCCACCTTCCTAGTGCCTGGGAAGGCCATATGCTTTATTGTCGTGTGACCTGACTTCCTGCATTACATACTGTGTGCTCAGATCCTGGAAACCAGTCCACTCGCTGTGTACGAGGTACCTGGTGTGCGGATAACCTTACCTGTTCCTTGGAGGCCCCAAGACGGGCAAGTAGCCACGTGAGGACTGCCGCTGTCCTCACAGTTAGTCTTGTTCTTGGCTGGAAGCTCCCCCTGGAAGCAGGGCAGGCTGGAGAAGTTAGCATATATGGTTAGGGAACAGCATCTGGGGGGCCCCAAGTTGGGGATCTTGGTTTAGACTATATCATGTGTGGTATTCAAGTAATGCATATTTATTGTTATTTCAGAAAAATGATGGAAACTTTGCATCTAGTGCTGATTGGGTCTTGGATCCTACTGAACTTGCTAATAAATTTAATTCTAAAACAAAAGCAATCATTCTGAATACCCCTCACAACCCTACAGGCAAGGTAAGAGTCCTGCTTTAACATTGCTGTAATTTCAAAGTATGCCTTGAATACTGTGGTTAATACGTTGGCCCTTTCTTTCTTGCACCCCAGGTATTTACACAAGAAGAGCTCCAGCTGATAGCTGATCTCTGTATTAAACATGATACCTTGTGCATCAGTGACGAGGTCTATGAATGGCTGGTCTACAAAGGAAATAAGCACATTAAAATAGGTACTGAATTTTTGTGTCATCTTAGAGGTGAATATGTAATGGTGTCATAAACATCTCCTTTTTGAGATGATTCAACTCTAACAGGAAGAGCCCTTCCCTTTTCTCAGCAGTGTTTTAAAGCCTGGAGAGAGTATGTCCTAACAGCGCCCAGTGCGTTCAGGGAGCAGGGTTAAAATAACGGCTGTTGTGTTTGATGAAGCCCTTGTGCTCGGACGAGGCACTAATGGAACTACTGCCAGTGACCAGCGCCGGATCCAGTGCAGGTTATCTGACTGCCTTCCCCAGGCCTGCACGTCTGAGCAGTGTTAGTGCAATGTATAGAATATATGTCCTGCGCGGGGAGCGCTGTGGCCTTGAATGCTACAGTTAAGTGTGTGTATAAAAGCTTCTAGGGTTGGAGTCTTAGCTGGGATCTGTGGATGTATTTGAGCCGACTGAAGTACAAGAGTTATTTCTTATATGTACAGACAATTAATTTCTGAAGTTATAGTCTAGCATGAACTATATTTAAGAAGTACTTATAGTCATAATGAAGGCAGATTTCAGCAGTATACAACAGAACCTTCTAGTTGAGATTAAGCAATGAAATAGAAACTTTAACATGGAAACTTAGGTGTTCTTTTTTTTTTTTTTTCCCCTGACTGGACCACTGATCTGATGTTGAATAACTCTGCTTCAACTCCCTATCTCTAAAAGGACAATAAAAGAAGCTCTTCATGGTTGGCAGAGTGGTACATCAGTGGTGCAACTACAATGGTAGTGCTGCTGTTAAACGTTTCTTTCAAATAACAACAAGCAAATGCAGCCGCGTAGTTGCTGAGTGTCAGGCTGCACTGCGTTTGTTGTGTTGGCCACGCAAAGGTTATGGGTCTGTTCAGAAGTGCTCTAAATTGTGCGGGTATTGATTGCTATCACTGCACTATGTTGATAGTGATCAACGTCTCCCAGACTCCTGCAAAGTCTTCTGCAAAACTATAAACCTCCTGGAAGTGCTGATTAGAGATGCACTGGCTGTGTAGAGACCCTGTCTAATACATGAAGATTCTGAACAAACATCCCAACACGCAGAGTGCCAGCCCAGCTAATATCTTAATAGGGTTTGTTAGTTTTTAATTTATGGTCAAACTTGATTGTGTTGTCTTATAATGCTTCTGCCATTCGGTGTGGAAGAATGTCCCTCTCTGTTTCAAACCTGATGCAGGCAAAGGGATGGAGCTGCTGCTTCCCCTGCTGCATTTGCTGCTGCTGCTGTTTGAAAAGGTTTTGCCTTGTCTGTCCAAGGTTGAACCCCTACGGCCCTGTGGCAAAACAGTCTCACTAGAGGGCATTCGTTTTGAAATTCAACCTTTTTTGCAGCCTGTGAGGACTAGTTTCGTTGACTTCAGGAAGTCGTCTATAAAATACTTAGCTAACTAGAGGATGCATCTTTGCCTTGTTGTTTTCAAGGTCACCAGGCAGCTGAAGGAATATGGGTGGGCTAGGAGGAATATGAGTCTTTTTTGCTAAGTGTGCAAGGGGCACAACAAAATGCATGTTTTCAAATAAGTGCAGTGATTTATACCCAATGCAGCTAATTGGTGCAAACACTTCCTCATGAAATCCAGACTTTTCATCTGGAATACCTTTGTCTCATTGATTGCCCTGGAGGGAGGATTTAACAATTCAGAGATTCGTTGGTGATGGTTCTGGTATCCAAATGTGCTAGAGCTGAGTGCTGTTGACCACTGCTGTTGCTTTAACTTTATGACCTTATCTAACCTTGTGTCTCAGACTCCAGTGTGTCTAGATTAATCTGTTTCTGGTCGAAAGTTAATTATATTAAAGAGTCCAACCAGAGCTTCCCTGAAGCAGTGTACAGAAACAAAACGGCAACTGCATGAAGAGACTTTTGCTCTGTCATCTCCCTCGAGAGGAAACAAAGGTTTTTGGATTGCTAGCAGACACAGACACATGCAGAGACAGGAACAGGCCTCCGTGCACCCATCAGTCCTTCAGACATGACTTTTATTAATGCCATGTCTCTTCAAATTATACAACCTAACTTAATATCTAGCTTCTGGGTTAGAGATTTTAGTAATTCTTCTCTCCTCCAGATTCTGAAACATGCAGTGACCCTGATTTGTTTGCTGTGGACAATTCTATTGAAATGGCTGGCAGTGACTGAGTTACTGTAGTATATGGTACTTCTTATCAGGCAGCAGAAACAGCACCATATTGAGCTGAAGGGTTGTCATTCTCAGATCATATCTTACCTATGAAAAATTATGCGTCCTTAGCTGAGGGTAATCACCATGTCATTTTCACTGACTGTGCCTTTTCTTATTTTCTACTACTTCTTTCTCCTTTGATTCTCACCTTATTTTTGTGCCAAAACATATTGGCCTATATATGCCTTCTCATTTGTTACAGTTGTAATTTTAGAATATTCTCACTGCTTGTGTAACATGCTGCAGTGATGTATCAGAATATTGAAGCTCTTAGGGGCAGTACAGTTTTTCTAATTACATGGAATAGCGGGTACATTTTTAACCTGTTAATTTTGCTTTACGTGCAGCTACTTTGCCAGGTATGTGGGAAAGAACAATAACTATAGGAAGTGCTGGAAAAACATACAGTGTAACTGGCTGGAAGGTAAGAAGAATAAATATAAATAACAAGACACATTTATCATATTTTTTTAGGCTGGAAGGTAAGAAGAATAAATATAAGAGTTCTGTTATATAAATAACAAGACGCATTTATCATATTTTTTTAAAAAAATCACTATTTTTGTGGCCTGTCTTTTGAAAGCTTCTGTCAAATCTGTCTCTCTCGACTGAAGATAATACTCAGTTGGAACAATAGTCCTGTTTGAACATCCATATTTTAACACTATTCTTACTACTTTATAAAAAAGCTCTTGTGAGGAGAGCGAGTCCTCATTATAAAAAGAGCTACAAGTTTGCTCAGTACCCTTAGAGAGATGGGGATGAGTGAAATTTTAATTGTTGTCTCACAGCTAGAACTTCATAGCAACCTTTGTGTAAGCCAGCTCTTTACTGAATTCTTTTTTTGAAACGAATGACTACCCATACCCATTCTTAAAATATAAAATGTTGTGACATTTGCTGCCTGTAGTTCTTTGTTAATTCCTAATAACACCACTGCTGTAAGTGTAATATATACATGTTTTCTGTCTTAGGTTGGCTGGTCTATTGGCCCCCAGCATCTGATAAAGCATTTGCAAGTAGTTCAGCAAAATACACTATATACTTGCCCAACTCCATTACAGGTAGGTACAGGTAGAGGAGAGGAGGTAATTTTCATCTAGCACCTGGCATAAACCTTTAGCTGTTACTTTAATAAAATATTGATCATAACAGTGAATTTTGAGTTGTAAAAATAGATATTCTGCGGTTCTGGAAGAGGAGACAAATTTAATCACCTGAGGAAACATGGAAACATTTAGGGGAAAAAACAAAACAAAAAAAAATGTGTTTTTATTTATCTGTGGACTTCTCTCTCTTGCATGAAATATGGCAGTATTAGTAGCTTCCTAGCAAATGTAAATAAAGATTATTGCACTAAGGTTTTGGATAGCTGAGAATTATTTCTATCAACTAGCACACAGTTTATTTACTAGTACTCTATGGTATATTATTATCAATAACCTTAACTTAATGTAGATTGTAACCTCTTGTGGGAAGGACTTGGACCTCTGTGCAAGACTAAGGCCTAGCAAATGATAGGGTGCTTTGGGTGTTACCACAGCATGAAGTAAACAAACAATTAGACATTTGGATATAGCTTCTCTAATTTGAATATGCTGATTTTCTTAATGAGAGCCAGATCAAGGCAAAAACCACATGGTTTCAGTAGGAAGTGCCTGAGCGTCCATGGCTGTACTGAGCGTACATGAGCACTTTGAATCCTGTATTTTCAGGAAGCTTTGGCACAAGCCCTTTGGCTAGACTACAAGCGCATGGATGATCCAGACTGCTATTTCTACTCGCTGTCTCGCGAGCTGGAGGGCAAGCGCGATCGGATGGCGCAGCTGCTTCGAGAAGTTGGACTGAAACCTGTTGTTCCAGAAGGAGGATACTTTATAATTGTTGATGTTTCTGCATTAAGTTAGTAAAAAGCTTATTAAACAGGGGGTGGAAAACAAATATTAAGATGAAAATGCAATCATTGTGTTTGCTTTCTGTTTTTATTATTATTATATATATATTTTTAGATGTGGATCTCTCTGATGTGGAGGAGAATCAACGTTATGATTATAGATTTGTCAAATGGATGATAAAATCTAAGGTAAGGAGTCTTAGTCATACTCTAGAGTTTTGGAAATGCTCGTCTACTGGAAGCAAGAGAAGTGTAGCCTTTCTTTATTAAATAATGTAGTAGAGATGCTACATTAAAAATGCTGCTGCTACTGGTGCCTATGCTAACTGCAAATGATGTGGCTAAAAGATTGCTGAGCACACTGAAAATGTACTTGGTAGGTTTGCTGGACATAAGCCCCAGCTTTTGTTTCTCCTGCACACTTAAATGCTAGTTGCAGTCAAGTACCTTTGAACCTTTTGGCTAAGAAAAGTGATTTGAATTTAGTTAGGACTAGCTTTGCATGCAAAATCCAAGCTGGTCTTTCAGTTGAATGCAGAGAGGGAAGAGTTCTAGAAAATGGAATAGTAAAATCATCATGCTTGAAACTGATATTTATTTGTGTATAATAAACAAATCTTTCTGTTTTATACTTCAGAAACTTTCAGCAATTCCTCTTTCAGCATTTTGTGGTCCTGAGACAAAAGTGCAGTTTGAAAAATATATACGTTTTTGCTTCATTAAGGTAAACTTATGTCCCAGGAATATTGAAAAAATAAAAATCAATTAATATAAAAATATGTAATAGTCTGCTTGTTACTTTTTTTTCTCTGCAGAATCTACTGAGTTTTATGATTTTAGCAGCAGAAAGTTAGCTTGCTGTAAAATCCAACAAAAAGTAGCTTCAAATATGTTTTTGCAGAGGTACTTTTAAGTCCTAAATATGGGTGACATAATTAAGAAGGGCAGCAAGAAGAAAACAGCTGGATGGGTAAATCTTTCTTAGCTTATGCTGTTGATTTAAAAACATTCTTGGCCAGTGCTGACAATGAGAGTGGATGACACAGATATCTCATGCTGGCTATTAAGATGACTTCTATAATCCACAGTAAGGACTAATTCCTTTGTATAGCAGAGAGGTATATCCTCATGTCCAGTCAGTTTCAAACTACAAACCAGATCATTAAACAGGTGAGCTTCAAGATTAACTAACTTAACTAAAAATGCACAGGATCTTAAATAAACTCCAAATCACAAAAGAAAATAAAGACATAAAAAAAATGATTCTTAGATGTTTTGTTAAGCAGATGGAATTGACATATTGTGAACTGGCTGACTCTGGTCATTTTGTGACCTCATTTTCCCATATTCAGCTTCCTGCTATTTCTCCAACTTGCTGAGTCTGTTTTTGAAAATACTGAAAAGCTTTGGGAGCAAGTACTTAAACTCTGTTAAACCTGCTTCCCTAAGACCTTGTTCTTACTGTTCTGTCAAAGAATCAGCATAATGGAAAATGTGCCAACCCCTTAGCTGTTCCATGTGCAGATCAGAGACTTAGCTTGGGCCGCTAACGAAGGGGAGTTTCTGCTTGCGTTAAGCTCTTACGATGAGGTATAAAAGGCTCTAATAAAAACGGAGCCAGTAACAACCAGGAGGGAACTTGTTAGTTGCAAACATGGCTTGCCTTGTGTGAAGAGCTCTAATCATGCCAAGTTAAAGGACACTTGTATGACTAACCAGTTGCAGGCAAGCCACAGAATTGTGATTACCCATATTTAGAGGGGTTATGTTTAAGTAGTTGACAGCATAACTTGGTTATATGGAGATTTAAAAATCCTAACTTTAAAGATTAGCAATCTATGCATAGCATGTTTCTAATATGTTTCAAATTTATAGCAGCCCAAACTTTTATTGCATAAATGCCTGTATTTGTGCAAAAAATGTCTGCTTTTGTTAAATTTCATAGTGTATTTTCCTCAGCATTCACATTATCTTTTTAACAAATACACCTAAAAAATATTTGCATTAACATTGATATTAACATTGAATTCTTTGTGTTGTCTAGATCTGTAGCTATAACTGTTAATGGAAAACAGACTGGGATATTTATATGATGCAAACAAAACTGCCAAATACTGATTTCTGATGTTACAATCATGACTGCTACTGTTTTCAAGAACTTTCTATTTACACTAATAGTGATATTCCTTGTTTTGCAGAAAGACAGCACACTAGATGCAGCTGAAGTAATCCTGAAGAACTGGAATAAACAGAATGCTTGATATTTCTTTAATCAACTCTTCATTCTGGTATAATTACCTTACACGAGGGGTTTTTATTGCAAACCTAAGAACAAATGGCTTAGTACAAAATTAATTTGGCATTGTAGATTCCTTTGTGCTGCCACCTGCTGAGGAGTTAAAACAATGATTTACTCAATGTGTGTAATGCGATTCATACGTTATTTTCAGTGTTTTTAAAATAATTGACCTTTTTTCCAAAATGATACACAGATTCTACATTTCTCACTTAAAAAAAAAAAACAAGAATTTCTAGACCTCTTGGTAAAATAAATACAGAAATAGGTATTTTAAGGCTTGCCAGAAAAAAAAACGTGGAGGTGTTTGGGATGTTAGGTAGTATAAGAACTAGCCTAACACTTAAACTTGTGGTTTGGAAGATCTGTTAGCCAGCAGTGGAAGAAAATTACGGCATGCCAGGTTAGATGATTGCAGTGACTTTCTACCTACCTACCTACGCTGTCCATGTGCAAAGTGTATCAATTAAGTAATAGAGTTGTATCAGTGCAGTGTTCATATATAGACAAATTCTAAATATGCTGAGTTACATAATTAATACCTCATTTTCCCACAGTAGACAAGTTTACTGCTCTAAAGGCATTCAGCCCTCAATGTGTGGCTTCTAGAACACCTAGGTACTTATTAAATGGATGAATCTACAAAGCAAAATAGAAGACCTTGCCCTAGAGGCTCTTTCACAATCAAATGTGCAGTGAGAGAAGTAGTCCTGTAATCCTTGCCGCTGTTAGCATGTTCACAGCAGCCACAGCCATTTGTAGCTTCACACCAAACTTACTCCAATGCTTATTTTCATGCTTGGGGAAGCATGGAAATGGGCCTAATACTGCACTGTGGAGCTCAGCTATCTGAAGCTCCGTGGATAAGGGACTGTTTCAGAAGAGATCAGCGTGGAGAAATCCTTTCCTTCTTAGTGGTCTCCTCTTTGAGCTGCCTCGATGATTTTTTTTTTTTTTTTTTTTTACTTTTCTGGGTGGATTTCCCTTCAGCAGATGCAATCAAGGTACATTGTCTTTTAAGGGTGAATGTTGTGTTTCCCCTTGTGTTTTTTTGTTCTTCCCATAGGCCTTTTGGTGAAAGTTGGAATAAATTCAATACTGAATTCCTAATTTGCAAATACCTTGCTCATTCCATTGTCATATAGCTTGAGTCTGATAGAGTTCTATTAGTGTGTGATCATGGGCAGGGCTGGAAAAAAAAATGAAAAAGGAAATTGGTTGGCAATAGCAGCTGTTAAACTTCTACTGACTACAGATGACTGGTGACGGTACATCCTCTCCATCTTGTCTTTTGGGAATCTAGTAGCTGGGACTGGTGTCGCAGTTTAGCTGTCTGGCATGTCATTCCCTAAACCTCACCAGAAAAGAAAACATTGTTTGGTGTTTTTCAGGGTGAGTGTAGTTTTGCATAGAAAAATAAATAAAAAAAAAATCAAAAAAAAATCCAGGAGGAAATATTGTTGTAAAACAGGAAAAAGGAATCAGTGAAATTTACATTGTGTTTTGCACAATCTTTAAAATGTCTTTGTGTAAATTGTACTGGGGAGCTGTGCTGTTGCAGGAACTAGGGGCTGTTGTGACAGGCCATTGAGCTGACTGATAATTTGGTCAAGGGAAATCGTTTGTAACATTTCCGTTTGTAACACATAATAGCAGTTGATTTATTTTGAAATGATTCCACAAATGTTGCATTCCAAAAGCCACTTGGAAGTACACTAAGGCAGCTGCCACTGTCATTGCAAAGTGAATTCCTATAAAATTAAAAATAAAACATCTTTGCTAGCATGAATACATGTTGAGAACAGCAGCTTCTATAAAATAATTTTAGGTATGATGATCTGAATCCAAATTCCTTAATGTCTTAACTTCTTAAATGATACAAAATAATGAAATATATGGTATTTAGATTCCTGTCCTTGAAACAATGCAATTAGACCATATGCAAGCAAATATAATTTTCATCGTTATATGTCAAAAGGAAGTTTTAAATATCATTGCAGCATGCTTACCTTGAAGATAACTGCTACAGAGCACAATCCAGCGAATATTTTAAAAAAGCCCATTCTTTCTACAATTTTAAGATTTCCCTGATAGCAGTTTGTTAGCATGTGTTCATATATGTAACTGTGTGACGTTTCTCACAACAGCAGTGAAGTGATAAAAGCTTTTTCATTAACCTCTCTCTACAATGTCTTCATTGTCTCATAAAGCAGTCTCATTGCTTCGTACAGATTTGTTTTAACACTACAACTATTGTTAATAGTACTGCTTATGTTACTGTCACTGGCAAATTGGACACCCTGCATAAAGTCAGTCTGTGCATGGATATGCACAAAAGAAATGCTGTATGCTGGGTTAGAAGTGAAATTATAAAAACTCTAGCGAAATACCTGTTTTTCCATGGTTAGATTCTGCTGCATTTTAAATACCTCATTCTAGCATGTCACTAATGCACATGCTAAAGCCCTAAATCTGACAGGGGAACATGCAGGTGGCCCATATTTAAAGATGGCTTTGCATAGCGCACGGGCTCAGGGCCTTACTGATGTTACAGGGCCCACTACTTTGCTTAGGTTTTTTTTTTTTTTTTTGCCTATTTTCTCCAGTTGCTATAGTTTAGTAATCTTTTTGTTTCATCCAATATCTGGACACCTAAGATGCAGTGTGGGGGATGACCCAACATACCAAACATAATTCAGCTGCTTTAGCTGTTTATTGTTTCCTTCACTTGTTCCTTTGAGGTTTTTGACTGGTGTCTGCTATTCTAACAAAATGAATGTTGGCTAATCAAAAAAGTAATTTCAAAGGCTGTTTAGACATATGAGTAAGACTTGTTTTTCACAGCATACTATGCCTTGTGTTCATGAAGGTATCTGTTGTTTATATTATTGGAATGATGCTGGCAATATTTGTAACATGAGAATTGCCACTGAGTGGTCTATTTTTATCACTGATATTAGCCAGCATTACTTTGGATGAAATTGTTACAAAACAAACAAACAAACAAAACAAACAAACAAAAACTCCAGACTAAGCAATTAAAAGATAAGTTTTAAAGTGGGATTAATGTTGTAACGGGAAGTAGTGATGGGAAAGAACAAGTACAGCTAAGGACAGCAAGGTGAACTTTCTGTAAGTTATTAAAATGATCTGTTGCTGACAGAGACTCTTAATAGCAGTATTCCCATCTGCTACATCAGCCACTTTTGGGGCTGCTTGTGGACAAAGAACTTGTAAAATTGCTGCAGACAGAGAATAAAGAAATGGTGAGAGATATGATCTATCATCTCCTTTGCAATAATGCTGAAAATGATTGTCTCTCTGTGCTGAAAATTAAGCTCTTTCAATTCTAGTTAATGAGAACAGGGTCGGGGGGACCCGCTGCCAGCAGTGATTGTCAGCAGAGGATCTTTTTTGTAGACTAGATTATATGAGAAGCCAGGGCAAACGTGGAAAGCTTCATGGGGCTGACAGCGCTGGTGTGGCGCATCCTCTGCAGATACTGCCCTGCACACATTTCACAGGCTGTGGGAGAACTTCTCGGGCTAAAAGGCTCACATTGACAGTAGCAATTATTTTTTCATTACCATTTTATCTTTCGGTCTTACTGAGTATTGTGGAAAAAAAAGTCATTGCAAATGGAAAAAAAGAGAATTTTTAATTTGTGTTTTAGTACCTGTACGTTCAGCTTTCTTTTATTACAGATTTTTTTTTTCTTTTTGTTTTAATAAAAGGAATGTGTTTGTGAGTTTAGACTTGTGCACGCACGGTGCTTGTATATTCTGCACAGAGCATTTCAGCCCAGTGTGGACCATTTTTGAAAGAAAAAAATGTAGTTCATTTAAAATGAGAAATGAAAGGGCTTGTTCGGTTGCAGTTGTGGTTTGGAATCTCTGCTTTTCTCTGCATTGAAAAAGCTGATTTTTGAAATTCTAATATTCAGTGATGTATCAAGTCTTAATTGGGTAAGACATTTAATTTTGAAAACACTTCAGAAGGTATTTACTGCTCATGTTCTCCGTGTCATCAAGAGTATACTAAAAATGTAGTGATTATAACTTTTATGTTACTACAAGTTTATAATTTATAAGGATTTGATCATTATCAATAAAATAGTTTTAATTAACAAAATAAATCTTGGTTCAAACAAAAATGATCTTGGTGTGACCCTTTTGTCCCAGGATTTTATCCAGCTCTCTGCCTAAAGAGCCTAATGCAGAAAAGTGCTCCGAAGAAGTTGTGTAAGCATAAATTTGACAACCAGGGAGCATTAAGAGAACTTTTCAACATTGCTGAATTTCTTCTGTGAAGAGAAGGGACCAGACGGGTGTTTCAGAGTGGATAGAGGCGGCTCGGCGGGAGCGCGGGCCTCTCGC